TTACTCTGAGAGCATTCCCAAAGTCAACCCCAGATACTTCTGTGAGACAGAAGCACGGGTTCAAACATGGATTTTACTGGAAAAGGAAAGACCACTGAAGGAAAAGGTGAGGATAGAAAGGAGCTGAAAGACCTGACCAAATGGAAAAAAATCCCACCAGATTTCAGGGGAAACTTGTCCATGGTGGTCACTGCTGGCTCTGTATCAGAGTTGGTAGCTGACAGCTACAGGTGATCCTGCAAGGATGCCCATGGCATCACAACATTCTGTCATTAGTTTACTCTGCTTTCTTCTTTTTGACAGTAGCCAAATCACTCATACTGTCAGCCAGGACAGGGACTGTGGCCACAGCTGACCACAAATTGGACATGGTCTTGAGATGCAAGTCCTGTTTCTTTCTTTGCCATCAATGTCGGGTCTCAGTACAGATAAATTTCCTGTTCTTCCTCCTATTTGAATTAAAGGTGCATCTTTTGAATTCAAGTCTTGCTTTATTGCCCTGCATTTCCTGTTCTTCCTCTGCTTGCTAATTGGATCCAACACTGAGGATGCTATTACAGTGCTATACAAATACCATCAAGGCCTGCCTGATTGCTGAGAGCTCTTTGTAGTTTGCAGAATAGCATTCACAGCTGGGTTTTTACTCGGTATTTACAGAAGGCCAGGCTCAAGAAGGAATATTTTGTTCCCTTCTTATCATTGGGCACTTCCACCTTTCCCTTCAGATTTGCTAACTCAATGTTGCCCGGAGGAGCTAAACACAGGCTAGATGCAGGAAAAGTTAAACCAAATAATTTTCTTAAAAATTCAAAAATCCCTCGAGTGCCTCACCCATTCTACATGTTGATGGTGGGATAAAGGTTGGAGTTCACCTAACTCACTTGTGCCCTTGTGAGCATAGCTCAGCCTCACACAGAGGTAAGGTGGAAGCTGGGCCACTCTCTGGTGAGAGGAATGGTCTTGTGCCAGCCTAGAGAGCCTGTGCACATTGCCAGGGAACAGTTCTGCCCTGCCGGTGTCCCCTGCCATGAGCTCTGCTGCTCCCAGTGCCCCAGTAGCTGTTATTGCTGCTGATCTGTGGGGCAAGGAAAGGAGCAGGAGGCTGCATGTGCAGCTGACCCATTGCTGGAAAGCACAGGGCTCTGGACTCCCTGCTGTCCCAGGGCAGCCCAGAGGCCAGGGTGTTCCTCTTGTATCTCTGTGCAAGTGGGTCTGGGTGTCCCATTGGCCTGCCTCAAGTGGCTGCTGGCAGGAGCATGTTTCCCTGTGCAACTATTTAGAAGTTTCCAGGGAATGTGTCCCATGGAATATGGAACTTCAGATGTTTTAGGTTTGCATTATTTTGTGTTATATTTTGTGTTTCCACTTTGCAGGCTTGAATACTTACCATCTTGCCAAGAGGTTTTCTCTGGCAAATCCCTCTATGCTCCTTCCCTCTAAACCGTTGCCTCCCATCCAGAAGAGCTCTCCTTCTACCAAGCCAAGCAAGACATGCAGTGTGGAGCAGGAGAATGGGAAAAATGGCACCGGCTATGATGATGACAGCAGAAAAAACCAGGAGCTGAGTTCAGAGGGAAAAAGACATAAGGTAATGGGACCAGAATAAGTCCTGTGTGATAGATTTTCAGATTATATGTTGTAGACTGAGTTTTGAGACCCTTTCTTGTGGTGTAAGGCAAGGGAAGCAGCTGAGGCAAGGAAGAGCTCAGCTGGACACTGCACTTCTGGGTATCTTTGCAATGGGTGTGTAGAGCAGACTTCATGTCCTCAGTGTGTACCAAAAGCAGGAGAAGTCTTTGAATGGTTTCTGGGCTCTGTTTTGGTTCCTCCTGTCTTGTAGATGAGAAAACACCAACAAGAAGTCAGAGCAGCTATAGTTCTGGACAAGTAATCTGTCTAGATTTAGTAATCTATGGCTATCCATGAGCCATGTTTGTGTCTTGGTAGTGTTTACTGACAGCTGTGTCTAGTAGGGAAGGAAAAAGTAGTTTGCTGGAACAGGTAGTCCTACAAAGTCAGTTCCTGGTTGTCTCAGCTTCTAAGTTGCACAGCCATGGCCTTCTGCACAGTTGTCTCTGATGCTGTTTCTAGAGTTCATCAGCTTCTGGGCAGCTGTGTGCTCTGGCATGGCTTTGTCCAGAGGGAAGGGTGTGGAGGTGGCCATGAGGAGAGCAGCCCAGAGCCCAGCCTCACGATTGCCTTTGCAACAGGGCCAGCACCTTTATTTGTTTTGGCTTTGCCATGGGGTGCAGCAGGAGGCAGATGAACTCCAGCTTTTGTAAACAAAGTGTGTCCAATCAAAGGCTTGTGCACTTGATTTCAGCCTTGCTGAGAAAGGGCCCAATGTATCCCTGACAGTATCTGAGCCTTTCAATGGAATTTGAACTGGTCCTGATTTGGCTCTTTAGCTGTGTCAGGAATGATAGGATACTAAGGAATGGTGTGCATATGCCCCAGCTGCCTCCACCCCACTTCGTGGCCATGGCATGGGGGCCCTGGAGCAACTTGGGCAGGCAGAGACCTGCCAGAGAGCAGCAGGGCAGGGAGACCTGCTGAACTTCCTAGATGCCAGTGAGCCTGAGATTATGGAGGTGTGGGAGCTGGAGAGCAGTGAGCATCCCAAGAGCTCGGCAGCTTCTGGGCTGAAAGGCTGCTGGGGGACTGTAAGAGGGAAGGGCAGCAGCAGAAAAATTGAGAGGCTTGAGAAAAGCAGGTTTTGACATCCTGCAGAGTGGCTTTGTGGGGATTTGGCTGGAAATCAGCACTGTCTGAGAGGTACGTAAAGGATAGGGAGAGACTAGAGATTCCCATACCATCCAAAAGGCCAGTGGAGGCAGTGGCACCTAAGAACATCTCAATGCCAAATGTAGATTCCAGCTAAGAATTTAGCCACACTTGTAGAGAAGTGGGCACAAGGAGAGAGGTGGCAAATGTATGACATGGTCTCTCCCTCACCAGTTCCCTTTCCATTCCCCATCCTAGTCCAAATTCCCCCGTGAATTTGACTTTTCTTTACCTGCCAGGTTGCAGTTAAACATGGCTAAATGGCTTAAGCCATGAATCGGGACAAGGCTGGATGCTTGACCTGGGCACTGTGTTCCTCTTTCCAGGCTTCCTTGCTGTATGCCACCGAGGGGGATATGAAGAAGGGGTCATTGGGACCACCTTTGATCCCCCCTATACCCAAGGCAGTAAGTCCTCCTGTTGACTGTGCTTCATGGTCTCTGCACAGCTCTCTGCAGCTGGATGTCCGAGAGTCCCAGGAGATGAGGTAAGCCAAGATGTCTGCTGCTCCAGTGTGCTCTTCTGCTTGCTCTTCCCGTGTCATGAGGTCATTTTGCACAGTCAGCTCTCCCATGTATTTAGGCAAACCACTGTGTATTCACTATTTTGCTCATCTATGATGATCCACACAATGACCAACCCAACACCATATGCACCAAGGCAACAGATGAGGGTGGGGAAGAGGAGGCAGGGCTTAGAAGCACCTCAAGATGGGTCTTCTGCTGGGCTTGGCTATTGATTCCTTCTGTAACGTTTGTGGTGTCATTTGGGAACTGTATTGCAAGGCTCTGGATCCTGAAGATCTTTGAATACTCTGATCCTTGACTGTCAACTTCTGCAGCCATGAGAATATGTTAGGTTACATACTGGCTACTGGAGATATGTTTGCAAAGTCAGATGCTGCTTCTGTAAACCTGAGGCGTAATTTCTCTGTGCCTGGGCCTGCACCATGAAATGAGATCACAGATAAATTTTGGGGTATAGGTGTATAATCCAATCAATGTTTAATATTTAGGTCTGGGCTAAGAAAATCAGCCTTTAGTCAGACTGGCCCAAATGTGACCCAGTCTCATACAGTTTAGAATGACAGTCATTGGGGAAAATGAATTATCTAGTGTCAAGAACACAATTTATGTTTGGGTAACACTCCTGCAATCCTAAGATTTTCTTTTAATGTCCTCTAAAATATTCCATCAAAGAGAAGAAAATGTTGATCTAAATGCATACAAGTATTAGAACCCGGGACTTCTTTTAGGAACTGGAAAGAAAACGTTTACTAAAATCAGCATAAGGGCAGATAAGAATCTCTGTCAAGAGCAATCTCCATCTCTCCCCTTCTCTATCAAACACAGAGGCTCTCCAGCATCGGGGGGCTGAGGCCTTCATCATGCAGCAGGTTTCAGTCTGCTGGCCAACAGAGTCATGTCACATCTACTGCCAGTAGCCCATCCATTGAGAGAGGGTCTAGGCATATGTACCTTGATGCTCTCATGCACCATCTCTGTGTCTTTTGAGAACTCTGCAATCTGGAAGCTGTCTTGCCTGTTGCCCAGCATGACGTTTTTGGGGACTTGAAGTCTGCCAGAGATTTACATGATCCTTTGCTTCCAGTACCAGTCCTCCCACTGAGCCAGGTCAAGGAGACGGATCATCCTACCAGTCCCAGTCTTACACGTGACAAAGACCTGAGGGACGGCTTTGGAAACGTAAGGGATAAGCACAGGGATGAGCAGACTTCCTTTCCAGTGGCTGTTTAGTGCTTGTTCCAAAACGTCCCTGAAAATCATAATCTTCCACTCTTGGGAGATGGAGATTCTTGGGAATATATTTGACAGCTACAGAGCAATTGCTTGGCTATTTCCTGTGGTGCCAAAGTCACTGCTTTGGTGATGGTGCTAAGGTCATGCTTGAAGAATTCTTTATGTAAAGAGAAAGGCCATTTTAGAGAAGTTCTGAATGGCTGAGAAAGCTACACACCAGTGAACGTGGGCAAAGGGCACCCTGAGAAGCAGAGGAGCAAAGATTCTAATGTTGTGTATAAGCAAGTCTGCAAAATAAAATGGGAGAGTTGATTTTTCTGATTATCTTTCTGGCTGTATCCCACAACCCTCTTATTCTCAAATTTTCAGCTCATTAATATCAATGTTACTGCAACTTGTTTTCACATCTCTCCTTCTTTTGGTCTTCTGGTCTCAGAGACCAAGTCGTTCAGAGTCCTTCAGAGATGAGTCCTTCAGAAGCCAGGCAGTGAGAAACAGCTGCAATTTCTGGCCAGGAGTGTTAAGCAACAGCTAATTACCCCTCCTTGCTGCATATTGCACATGGTTTTTATTCTCCTGCCATGGCCTGTAGGAACTGAACTGCCTGCTCACTGGTCATGGGAGCTCTTCGTCTGTCTTGGAGCATTCCTATGATTTTCATGCATCAAGCAGGGCTTCCTATCATAGATGGCATTTGGAGCAGTGTAAGGTTGTGGCAGCAAAGTGTTCCACCTCACTGTGTGTAATTGCCAAGGTGAGGATGGGAGACATACTCCTGAAACCATTGGAATGTATATGGAGCTGCATTAAAGACCATGGCATTTTATGGACTCTGTGCTCCTGATGAGATGCTATGTCTGGTTTGTGTCTCTCTGCTTACAGTCTGTGATGTATTTCCATTGCAACTAGATCCGTGCTGCACTGTGCATGTTGGCTGAAAAGAACTTAGAGCCAAAGGATTTGGAGCTTTTTGAGAAAGAGATGAAGAAAACGAGAGAAAATAATACATCCGTGCAGCTGCCCCCACAGACAGTTGAGCACGGGGATGCAGCTGAAGCAAGTAAGTGGTGCCTACACTTTTTTGACCACTTGCTTGCTCTTCGCAGTGTGTTGCAATCAGACTGGGCGGCTGTTCTGCTTGAATCTGAGTGGAATCTTCGATAGGATTTATTTCATTCCACAAAAATACAGAGGCATGAAGTTGCCTCTTGGCCTCACTGAGTCAGTAACAGAATATCAGCTTCCCACCTTCACCTCTAAAGTCTTTCAGAGTAGAAAATTCTGTCTTGCAAAGTCACCAGGGGCTTCAGACTCTCTCCTGGAGAGCAGCTTCCAGGGAAGGTGAGTCCAGGAGAATGCTTTTCAACCAAGGTGCAACCTGGAAGAAACCAAATTCAACTCCTTCTAATGAAAACACTGGAGACCCTTCTCCTGCCACTTCCTGCTGAGGAGCTGGCGCTGTAGAGCTGTGCTGAAGCCTCAAGCCAGTGCTTCTGTTGTAGGCCCAGGAGCAAGGAGCGTTCCTGACTGAATCCTGGCTGAGGGGCTCTGGCTGCAGTGCTGTGTGTGCTGCCCCGAGGGTGGCAGCAGGGACCTTTGGGGACAACACTCAGCCCGAGGGGATCACGCATGTTTATCTGCACTTTCTTTAGGGAACTTCCCCAGCCAGCCTCTGAAACAGGAAAACAAAAGCAAAGCAATACTGGGTTTTCCTTGTTTCTTAGAGGAAGCATCACTGCAGTTTGGTTTTAAACTAGATGAAGGTAGATTTAGATTAGATATTAGGGAGAATTTTTTATAGCGAAAGCACTGAAATGCTGGAAGTGTTTGCCCAGAGAAGCTGCTGTTGATCCATCCTCGAAGGTGTTCAAGGCCAGATTTACATGGGGCTCTGAGGTACCTAATCTGAATGATGAAAATGTCCCTGTTTCCATGGGTTGGACTAGATGGTGATTAAAGGGGCCTTCCAACCCAAACTCTTTTAGGATTCTGTGATTCCATGATCATTGTCCCATGTTAGTGTGCCAGTGTTCTACCTGAAGTTCTTTGGGATAACAAAGACATGTTACCTAACTCCAGCAAGTTTTCTGGCCCTTTCCATTGTCATCCTGTCCAGCACCCTCCACTTACAAGCTCCTCTTTGGTCCCTGCAGGCCTCAGCCAACCACCTGTCAATGGCACAACTTCCAGTGTGCAGAGAAAACACTCTGGTAATGCCTTGAAGAAGGTCTTGAGGAAGCAGGATAAGGTGCCTTTACTGCCCAGTATGCCCACAATCCATGAGGAAGGCAGCATCCCATGCAACTCCTCAGGTAAGCCTGCCTCGTGGTAGCTTTTTTCCACACGGGTTTTTCCTTGCACAAGGAGTACAAACTGCCTCCTGCCTCAGCCAGCACAGCTGGGATCTTTGGCCCATAGCCTGTCCTGAGAATGAACAGCAAATCT